GTGTGGGGAAAGGATGGAAAGTGTTCTGTGGTGGGGCAGGGGGCAAAAGTGAGCTCAAGCTTCACGTTATATGGTGGGAAGCCAGTAGATGACACTTAAAACAAAAATCAAGAAGTGGCACAATAGGCACGTTTAGAGATATGGAGGTAAATGCCAAAGGAAACATCTAAAGGAGGTGAAAGTAGTCTCTGAGAAGAAGGTAATTAGAGGGGAAAGGGAGTCTGCTTTTTATTGTAGTAGGTCTTGTAGTACTATTTAACTTCTTTTTTTTTTTTTTTTTTTTTTAAAGATGACCGGTAAGGGGATCTTAACCCTTGACTTGGTGTTGTCAGCACCACGCTCAGCCAGTGAGCGAACCGGCCATCCCTATGTGGGATCCGAACCCGGGGCCTTGGTGTTATCAGCATCACACTCTACCGAGTGAGCCACGGGCCGGCCCCTATTTAACTTCTTAAACTATGTGCATATATAACTTTGAAAATGAAAAGTAAATTTAAAAAGAACAAAAAGTGGGAGAGGAAATAGAGATGCACTTTACTGTGAAAGAGACCTAAGAGTGGAGGGGAGTTTTTCCTTTTTTTTTTTTTTTTTTCCCTCTCTCTTTCCCTCCCTTCCTTCAATGGAAGAGACTTTCGTGGGTTTATTTACCATGGAGGAAAATCTGGTACAGAGAGACAGAGGTTGAAGGGAGGGGAGTGGTATGATGAATCCAGGTCTTCGAGTTGCAGGGAGGGGAGTGATCTGAGTACAGGTGGAGGAATTAGCATTGAATGAGAGAAGGCATCTTTTTTTTTTTTTTGTCTTTTTTCGTGACCGGACGGATCGCTCGCGCCCGTACCGGACCGGGACTGGCAACGGGATCGCAGCCCTCGGTGTTGCCCCCGCACCTTGCTCAGCCAGTGAGCGGCCGGTCTGTATGTGGGATCTGAACCCTCGGTGGGAGCGCCGCTGCGCTTCCCAAGCGGCGCACTGTAGCAGTGCACCACCGGGCCGGCCAGAAGGCATCTTAACCTTGGTTGTGTAGGAGAATTGGTGTAGATGTCAGTGTTTGTCAGCAAGAGGTGGGAAATTGAAATTATTCCTCATTGTCTAATCTCTGTGAAAAATAGAAGTCACTGTGAGCATGAGGAAAGTGGAAAATTAAGTGAGTAGGACAGGAGCAGGAGAGGCAGGTGACTAGGGGACGTGGAGAGGGACAAAGAGTTATCAGGTATTGAGGACCCAGCCTAAGTTAGAGACCATAAATGTTTAGTGACCCGAAATCCATACCTAGTGCCTAGCACAGTGTTGACATCTAGGATGTGTTCAAAAATATTTGTTGAATGGATGAATAAGTGTGGTTGTATGATTTCTCTCTGGCAGTGCACATCAACCCTGTGTCAGAGCAGAGAAGGGGCAGGGGAGATAGTTGGACAGATCTAAGGGTGGGGTCTGAGAGCACTTATTGTGAGGAAAAGTTGAGTGTGCTGATGAAATAGTGGTTGACATGATGATCTTAAAGCATAGGCTGGAAAGAAAAGTGTCAAATTATGAGAAAACAGAAGGGCCAAGAGCTTTGTGACAAAAAACCAAGAAGCCATAAAAAAGTGATTATAATTGACTACATTAAAATAAAAAATGTGTGTATTATTAAAAATACTAGAAGCAAAAGTAACAAAGAAGAAAAAGAAAAAGCGGAATAAAAAGAAAAAACTACTGGAAGAAAAATGTTTTGGAACTAGATAAAGGTGATGGATGCACAACACTGTGAATGTACCAAATGACATTGAATTGTACACTCTAAAATAAAAAAACTATGCTGCCACCACCCCAGAGCCCCACCAGGGTCCTGAAGCGTGGGGCCGGGGGAAGCTGAACCCAGCCGCAACCAGGTAGAGCACCGAAAGCACCATTTGCATGCAGGTAGCCCACCATGGCCACCTCAATTGCCATGGCTGCTGCAAAAGTGGCTAGTGTCTATAGTAGCAGTCACAGCAACTATGCAGATGGCATGCCACACTCTCAACTGCATTGACACAAGGAAAGGCACCAGTGGAGACCAAAAAAAAAAGAGGCCCTTTCCACAAAGCACACTCCAGAGTAATAGTAGCAGCATCTGATTTATGATAATAGGGGAGGACTTCATCACACCTGTCTCAGTACTGGACAGATCATCTAGACAACAAACCAACAGAGGAACAGTTAATCTATCAGATGGAGAGAACAAATCTATGGTTATTAGAGGTGGGAGGGGAAGAGGATGGGGCGATTGGATAAGGGACATAAAGAAGTATGATTTGTAGCAATGAATATGCTAAAAAAATTAAAGAAACAAAAAAGAACTAGGTACAAATTCAAAAGACATGACAAACTGGGGAAAATATTTTCAAAGTATACAACAGAGCTAATTTCTTTAAAATATAAAGCGTTCTGAGAGTACATTAAAAAAAGAACAGTTTAATAAATTGAGTTAATCTCACTTGTAATCAAAGAAATGCAAATTAAAATTAGGATAATACTATATTTTACCTGCTAGATTAGCAGTAATCAAAGTGATGTTCACCCTCTTTGACCCAGCAATTCTACTTTTAAGAATTTGTCCCACAGGTACACTTCACATGTACAAATAGACATCTTCAGGTCCAATTATTGTAATATTGTTTGAATTAGCAAAATAGTGGACATTCTGCATGTTCATCTGTAGGAAACTGGTAAAAACAAATGACGTCTAGGCAATGGAAAGCTGTTCTTTAAGGAATGAGGTGGATCCGTGTGTATTGCTTAAGGAGCGCTCTCCTAGGTATACTATGAAGTGAAAAAAGCAAGGTGTAGAAGAGTTCCAAGTATGCTGCTATATGTTTTTAAAATAAGATAGTGAATATGTACATTCACATATGCATGACTGAATGTGAAGAACAGCTCTGGAAGGATAATCAAGGGGCTGGTGATAGTGATTGCCTCTGGAAAAAAGAACTGGAAGATTGGAGATGGGGGATAGAAGAGAGTCTTCACTCTTTACTGTTTTATACTATTTGGATTTTTTTTTTTTTTCCCCAAAAGATGACTGCTTCAAGGATCTTAACTCTTGACTTGGTGTTATCAGCACCACACTCTCCCAAGTGAGCCACGGGCTGGACCTGGATTTTTTTTTAACCATGTACATGTACTTTCTAAAAAACATTAAAAACATAAAAAGCTAAAAAAGCGGTGGCAAGGGAAGGGGGTTAGGGAGTAATTGGGTAAGGGACACAAAGTAATTATGATTTGTAATGATGAATATGCTAATTAGTATTGATTTGATTGTCACATACTATACACAAATACTGATAGTCGACTCTGTACCCCGTAAATATTTATAATCAAAAATAAAATTTTTAGAAAAAAACCAAAGCCAATGTTTCTCAAAGTGTGTGCTGATTAAAAATCCAGATTCATGGATTCTTTTTGGGACCTCCTGACTTAGAATGTGGGAAGGTAGTGCTGGGTACTCTGGATCTTTATTGTGTCTCCCAGAGGGTTCTGTTTCACCTGTGAAAGTTTGGAATCCATGGGCTTAGAGGTGAAGGAGCAGCAAGCTCACGGGAGTCAGAGGGGTACTGGAAGTGAAGGTTGTAGAGGGATAGTTCCTCCACATGATAAAGTCTAGGGTGTGCAGGGTAGGCTGCTACTGTGCTGAGGTAAAGCAAGGTCAGTGGCAATTTGGTGGCACATGAAGCCTGTGGGTAAAGAATGGTTTGTTTGCTGTCAGCCATAGCATGGACTAAAGGCCTGTGTGAGCTGCCCCGTCTGCCTCACCAGCCTCATCTGGAACTACTTTGCCTCTGGCTGTCTCTGTCCCAGTACATTTGGCCTCTTTGAGTCCCTGAAATTTGCCCTGTTCTTTGTTTTCACACATGATGTTGCCATTCCAGGATGCTCATTCCTGCATGGTCCCAACTCCTCGTCCTTCAGTTCTCTGCTTAAAGATCACTTCTTCCAGGGAAATCTGCCTCAAACCCAGCCTTGTCAGAACTCCCTGTCATGCATTCCTGTAGCTCTTGTACTTCTCTTTTGGAGCACAGATATATTTAATCATTTAGGAATAATTTAATGTTTGTTTTGGTTCTATTGCTACATCCCTATACTATGCCTGGCACATAGTAGGGACTCAAATCAAGCTTGTTCATGGAAAGAATGAAGGAGCCTTGAAAGAAAAAGGAGAGGAAGGTTGGGATACAGAAATGGGAGTGGGTGATGGAGGTGAGGAGTGTCTGTGCAGAGCTGCTAACTCCTCCCGCCCAGTCTGGGGCTTTGGCCAAGCATTAGGTAGACCCTGATGAGTGTCACAGAGCAGCATTAGGACATGGTTCCTAGGACTTGGGCCTGCAGCAGCATGACTCTTGGCTGCCCAAAGCATTGGCTTCTGTTAGAATGTAAGTACCAGACTCCACAGAGATGTCATGTGGCTTCTATCTGGTGAGGGCTGCACATGTGGTCCCACTGAGCCCAGGGAACAGACTGCTTGGGCAACCGTAAGGAGCAGTGGAAACGAACACAACTCAGTCACAGCAGGTCACAAAGTGGTCAGGTATGTCAGCTGCAACAGGGAAGAGCTGCCTTACCCAGCTCCCGAGAGATCTGGTCTGCAGGGAAGTTAGTTATTATTTCCCCTGTAAATGACTAAGTTTACCTTGTGGCTTTACCAAGATGTACCCTTGAGTTTGGACTGACCACATAGGTTTCGATGTTTACCTTGGAACATAGGGACAGCACAGTCATTCAATAAACACTTATTAATAGACTGTGTGTCAGGTGGCATTCAGGTGCAGAAAAGAGATTGGGGTCCCCACCCACAGGGTAACAGGATCATGGATGAGCACACTATACGCTCTTTATTTTTTTAAGTATTATTTATACATATTTATATATATTTATATGTAGATTTTTATATAAATCTTGCATGATCCTGACCTTCATGTAATATTCAATAATACGCTATAACACTATATGCTCTTTAAACACCACAGAGAAAATACACACACTCATGCCTATTAAAACATTTATTTTCTTCTTTATGCTCAGAAACAAAGAAATGGCCTCCCCTGACTCGAGGGTCTCATCTTGAAAGAATGGGAGGCAGAGATAGTGATGGGAGGGGGTTGTTGGTGTGAGGTTGAATGTGGGAGTTCTTTCTCCCTGCTTTCCCTACCATCACTCTTCTTTTTAGCATCCCCCTCCAAAAATTTTAGGTATGAACACAGCTTGCCACCCATTGGCGGGTTGGGGAAGCAAAGCTGTAGTGAAAATATTAATGCCCACTTTCAACAAGAGATGGGTCCAGTGCGTATCTTGGGGGGATGGGGGGAGAGGGAGCGAAGGGGTTGGTTGAGGAAGCTGCCAGATGGAGGGGAAGGGAAGAGAGGCTGGGACACCCCCAACAACAGTGGGGACCTTGGTCCTGCCCCTACCTCTCCCAGCACCCATCCACTCCCTTCTTCCAACCCCCTTTCCTAGCAGAATTGGTCGTCGTAGTCATCATCCTTCATCCCCTTCAGCCGAAGCCGGGCAAAGTCCTCAAACACAATGTCGTCGTCTGTGGCATAGCTTGATGGTGGAAAGGAGGGGGATGAGGTGAGGGCTTCTGACCCTTTTCTTGGCCTCCCGCTTTCCTCCCCAGGGACAGAGGAGTTAGAGCAGCAATGGGACTAGAAGTATTTGCAACAAGGGACAGTAGCAGGCAGCCTCACAAGGTTAAGTCATCTTGTTTGATGCCTCAACCACCCATCCCCCCAAAAAAGAAAAAACAGGAAGTAGCAGGTAGATTTGAATGTTACATGAATCTTTGTCCAAAGAGAATCAAAGTAGGGGGATAAGTTTCTTACTTGGTATCAAATTCAATGAGGTTGGTGTCCACCGGGACATCTGTTTCAGGAGCGGCTGAGGGGAGAAAGACAGAGGCTAGCTGGGTGGGTGGTACGAGAAGGACCAGCTTTTCTCCACAGGCCTGCTTCAGACCCTCCCTTCGGGGGCTTGGGGTGGGTGGCATGCTCACCTGACTGGGGTCTGGGGTGGGTGATGTGGTCATGGGGCTTGGGGTGCATAAGAACAAAAGGCAGCTCCACGGAGACATCCCTGGGGAGGGGGAGAGGTGGCATGAAGACGATGGCGACACTGGGCCAGAGAGAACCACTGTGACCCCCACCTGGGCTCCCCCACCACACTTACCCGCCTCGAGACACCACCAGCTTCACCTTGACCCTGTAGGACACCAGGATTCCCAGCACCTCCTTGTTGGCACCCTCCTTCACGCTGCAATTGAAGGGTGGGGAGAGTTGATCAGGGCCCATTGCCTTGTCACCCAGCCCACGCTTGGGGCTCCCATCAGGACTCTGAGCAGGACTACACACTTACACTAGCCCCAGGGCTCCAGCGGCATAGGGTGAAGCATGCCATGGAATCCCCCTGCTCAGAACCTTCCTGTGGCTTCTCACCTCTCGTGGTGAAAGCTCAAGTCAGCCTCACTGAACAGCCCTGCACTGGCTTGCTCTCATCAGGCCCCTGCCCTCACCTCCTACTCCTCTCCTCCAGGGCTGCTGTGTGGTTGTGCAGTGTGTACCCCATAGAGGTGCCAGTGGGGGTGCTCCCGCCAAACCTTGCAATTCCTCAAACACTCCACTGGTCCCACCCCTGAGTTTTTGTGCCTGTGCCCTCTCTGCCTGCAATGCTCTCCCAGCATGTCCACACTGCCTACTCGCTCTTGGTCCTTACTCAGAAGTCACCTCTGTCTTATGCCTTCCCTTGCTACCCTATTTAAAATTAACACACCCTCCTCCACCCTACACTTTATATCTCCCTTCTCTGCCTTGCTTTTTCTCCTTAACACTTGTCACTAAACTTGCTATATACTTTACCATTTATCTGATTTGTCTGTCCTCCCTTCCCTAGAATGTGAGAGGTTTTTTGTCTCTTCTGTTCCTGGCACCTATGACAGAGCCTGGCACACAGTGGTCACTGAGCCCCCCACCCCCCCTCACATGGTGCTGGAAGCCAGGTTGGTGTCCTCATGCTTGAGCTTGCCATCCAGGGCAAGACCGCGCTTTTCCCGGTTGTCGCTGAGCAGCGGGGTTATGGTGTACACCTTACAGAACGTGGAACTGGGAGACACCTGGTCACTGGGGTGGGGACAAGAGAACAGGACTCCTGGAGGGGCCAGGCTGGGTGAGAAGACAGCCTACCACCCCCAAGCAGCATCTGCCCCTTACGAGCCCCTTCTCTCTTAGGGCATAAGTCACAAGGGTTTTGGCTCAAGCTCCTCAAGAAAATTAACAGCTCTGAGTTACCCAGCTGTAGAGGGTATGCCCTTTTAAGTGGAGATGGTTCAGGGGGAATTCTAACCCCCTACCTCACATTATCCTGGTCCTACTTTTCTCCTTTAAGGCAGGGACTCAGGTCTGTTCTGATACTCACTCTTGTTCGAGCTGAGCCACGGGACACTTGTACTGGGCGGTGCTGAAGAGGCAGATGTCGGCATACTGTCTCACTGTGGGGCAGGGTGGAGTCAAGCAGCTCTGGATGGGGCACAGACTACCACCACGCCACGACTCCAGACCACATGGTGTGGGCCCCAGGCTCCAGCACACCACCACCACCCCCTACCCCTCTGACACATGGCCCTCCCCAAAACAATAAACACTGGCCCCATGTATTAGTCTGGAATAGTCTAAATTCTTTGTGCTGTGGTGGGTCTCCCACAGTAGGACATGGCCTGGGCTGAGATCACAGCAGAAGCCACTTTTGCAGTGACTCCCTCCCCTGAGACCCCCTTCCAGCCCCCTCCTCCTACCAGAGACTTTGATCTTCTTGACGGTCTTGGTGGAGTTGTTGGTGACATGGACATTGACACTGAGGGGTTCCCCGTGGTAGTACAGCTTTTGAAGGGAGGGGGTTGCGTGAATTGCATGTTTTTCACTGGTCCCATTGTTAGCGTGCTCCCCGACACAGACACATTGCTCTGCTCTCTAAACCCAAGCCCCTAGCAACGTTCCACATCCAGCCAAGGCTGCCTCCTTTAAAAACACCATCTTCGAGGGCCTTAGTCACGCCACCCCAACATGAGCAACCAGCACAGCGACGACCACCGAGCCGCAGCAAGAGGGGCCCTGGGTTCCCGAGCTGGGGAGGTAGGAGGTGAGGGCTTTTGCCACATCCCCCTGACACCTGCACCCAGTCCAGCAATGACCAAGCCACTGCTGGAAGCCCCTGGTCTCCCTTGTGGGAATGTGGGGGGAGCCACAGGCCTCAATCCCGCCCCAGCTCCTTTCTTCTTCTTCCATCACATTCCCTTCCCCTTTCCCCTTTCCTTCCCAACTGCTCTGCAACATCATAGAATGTAAATAAAAATTAATAAAAATAAAAACACCATCTTGACATGTGGTCCTGCCCCTCCCCCCCAGGGCCCGACCTGTGTTGTGACATCTCTGTCACCCTCTCACTCCCTACCTCCTTGTCCAGGGACGCCTCCAGGTGCAGGGATCGGTCAGACATGAGGAAGTGGCGTGTGGTTTCAGCAGAGGGCTGGGGGCCGGGCTTCTCTGGGGCAAACTGCACCTTTCGGATCACCAGTCGCACAGAGTTCCTGGGGTGGAGGTGAGACGGGTGGGAGAGGTTAGTCCTCAGATTCCCAAACCATGGCTCCCACCTCCTGGGGCTCCTGAAGTGGGGAGGGAGTGGTCAAACCACAGAGCTTGCTTCCCTCACCTTTTGTGGCTTTTCTCTTCTAGTGATTTGGCACAGAAGGCTCGAATCTCAAAGTCTACCCCGCAGGCCTCAGGAGGGGGAGAAAAGGATACATCTTACCCAAGGCTCCTGCCACCACCACCACTCCCCTTCCTTCCTCCCTCTTCCCTCGTGTTGGGCAGGACTCTTGCCCCATCATGGTCTGAGGAACACAGAACCGAGTCTCCTCTGCCTCCGCAAGGCCTGGCACGTGGCAGAAGCTTGGTCATGGTAGTGCAAGGGGAGCCCCGATACCCAGGCACATACAGGTTAAGAGAGCAGAAGGCACTGTCACATGAGCGCAGTGACCATACCACATACAGCCCACTTCCATGGGGGACATTTCCCTGCCTGCAGGCCCCACCCTGACTCCTCTCCATGGTTCACCCTCTAGCCCAGCTGTGCTCCCAGGCTCCTGCTGGGCCTGGTTCTGCCCTACCAGCCCTCAGAACTGTTCCTCTCATACCTTCCCTGTATCCTCTGGTCCTGGCTGCAGTGTGACAGAGCAGGGCAGATTCTGGGGTATCTGTGGCAGAGGAATGGGGAGGTTTCAGAACCTCCAGGATGCTTCCAGATCTTCCTCCCAATCTCAGCTTAAGGGGCTAGTAAAAGGATTCCGGGACGAGAAAGGCAGAAGGCAGGGGCCCCAAGGAGGAGGCAGAGAGTCTAGGGCTTCCTGAATACAGGGTGACCCGAAAGGGAGGTGAATTTAGGGTCCCTGCTTCACTATTTCTTCCAGATCTGCCCATAACAAGTGCCTCACCCCCCAAACACAGTCCCAGACCTCTTGCCCTGCAGAGGGTGGGGGCATCCTCACTGTGAAAAAAAAGGGGTGGGCATGCTGGCCCAGCTTCCTCAGCAGCCGGTCCTGCAGACGGGTGGGGGGCCGGGGTGGGTTGGGCATTGGGGGGAAGGCCTGGTAGGTGGCGATGAACAGGTCTTTGCGGAAGGACAAGCCCAGCACATCCAGGTCTTCACGGCCATAGCGGAAGGCGCAGGTGAGGGTCACAAACACTGGCAAGGGAGGGTAAGGTGGGATGGTCAGGAACCCCTTTCCCCAATCCCCCTGTACCTAGTAGCCGCTGCTTTTTCCTCAGCAGCATGACTTGCCTGAATCCTACTCCTGGCTTCTGCCTCAGCCTTCCATCTCTCTGGGGCACTCTTCCAATGCCAGCTCATTTCACTTCCCTACCTCCCCTCAGGCCCCTGGACTTGGGGCCAATACCTTTGCGGTCCTTCAAGTAGTCAGGGTCCACAAGCACCACGCCATCTAGGAAAGGGACACATAGGCTCATTTCCTGAAAGGGCCTCTCCCCCATTCCTGAGTCCAGGAAATTCTTCCCCTCTTGGGGGAAGAGCTGTCCCTCTCTGGGAGAACTTACCTACAGGATCTACTTTGTCCAGGTGATCTACAAAGTCCCGCTTGCCCAAGTACACGGTGAGCTGAGGATGTCAAGGGGTCACAGGGAAGATTGAAGAGGATGGTGACAGGGCATCAGCACCCTCAAAAGTGGCTGTCCTGCCCTGGGCTCCCCAGGTGGGGCTATCAGGAAGGAGTTTCTCCATTTTTCCTCTCAGTAGTGTTGGAAGGTGAGGCTGGTAGGTTTTCCCGGACTACCCACCTTTAGGCTCCCTAATCGCTTTTCACACCTTTGCCCACCAGTCAGGGGTGTGTGTGTGTGGATCCTCAGGGAGGACTCTGCCTGACCAGCTGGTTAGAGAGCAGCTGCCAGCCTCACTAGAGCCCTCAAGGGGCTCTGGGATAAACAGGCCATAGGCTGGGGGTGGGGGGCTGTTAATTTTCCCCAGCCCCAGGCACCCTGGGTTTGCTCGTAAGAAGGCTATAGGCACAGGGCTTGCTTTTGGGCTCCTCCCCTTTGATCTTGCTTAGGCACCCAGGCCTGTCCCCACCCAGCCCTGTGGCTGGCTTAGGCTGAGCAGCCTCTGCAGCAAGGGGCTTCAGGAGGGAAGGAAGTCAGCTCTTAGCTGTCACAGGAAGTGGGGAGCTAGGGGTTGGGGACCGTCTAGGGGCAGGCTGCGCTTTGTTAGGGCCCAGTCAGGGTCAAGAGGATAAGCACTTTGGGAGACTCACCTTGCAGTTAGGGCTCGACTTCTTGAAGACCCTAACAAAACAGAAAGGGAAACCCCACTGCCTCCCTCAGACTCAGCAGGGAGCCCCCACACCAGGACCGTATCCCTCCCCAGCCTGAGAAGCAGAGCTCACCCAGAATTCCTGCCCGGAGGCTTTGGGGCTTTGCCCAGCTCTACCCCCTCCCATTTCCCAGGAGGTCCTTAATATTTCTAACATGGTATCCAGGGCAAATGCCCCTTCTCTTGACCTTCATCTACCCGCACTAGGCCCTCTCCCTCCACAGTAATAGCCAATGGTTGCCCCAGGAATCACCCAGTCTCTTCTCAAAGAACCTCCTCCAGAGGGGACCTGAACGGGAAGGTTGCAGCAGCGTCTGGGTGAGAACCAACCGTTTTTCCACCTTGTCTCCAGCTCCAATGACAGCTGGACTACATAGAAGAACAATGGCCCTAGCGTTTGCTTCTGAAATGTTTTCTGCTATAGGCACTACCCAAGTTTTGACCCTATTCCATTAACATACAACTGTCTCCCTCTCTGATCTCAGCAGCTTAAAAGCCTATTAGTCTTTCAAGACCCAGCTCAGATATCACCTCTTTTAGGAAGCAGGCCCAGCCCAGACTCTGGTCACTTCTTTTCTTGGGTTCCTGTCACACTTTGTTCATGTTTACATGTGGTGTGATCACATGCAAGGGTGGTTAGCTGTGTATCGTCTATCTGTCTCTCTCCTTAGACTGTGAGCCTCAGAGGCCTTATTCTTGCAGGATCCCAGCATAATGCCAGCCATATGACGAAAATTATGATGCTGGCTAACATTTATTGGGTGACTACTCATGCAGTGTTCCAAGTGTGTTGTATCATTTAATACCCTAAACCCAATGATGGAGGTAATAATATCCCTATTTTATAGGTGAGGAAACTGAACCATGAAGAGGTCAAGTATTTTGTGAGCATAAATGGTGGAACTCATAAAAACTGAGGCAGTCTGGCTCTGAGTCCATGCTCTCAATCACTAAACTATCACAATATCCATCTCTGTAATTGGAATCAATGGTTTCTTGAATTGAAGAGGATTCACTTCTTATGTTCAACAAACAATTTTTTTTTTTGTCTTGTTTTTTTGGCAGCTGGCTGTGACATTGGTGTTATAAGGCTGAGCTCTAACCAACTAAGCTAAACAGCCAGTCCCTACTTCTCACTGATGAAACAATCTAAGCCTGGACTCCATCAGTTGCTGGGAGTGTAGGGAAATGTCTGGTGCCCCAAAGCTCTGATCACCTGTGGGCCTGTTCTTTGAGTATCACCTTAGTACAGCCAATCCACTCTGCCTCAGCAGCAATCCCTGGAAAGGGTCCCCAGATAGTAAAAACCGAAATCCTTGCCAACTGGCCCATCCTTCTCCAACCATACCACCCAAATTTCTGCTACACTTCACTTGCCTGTTCTTCCTGGAATGTCAAGCTGTCCAGAGGTTATAAGGCAAAGAGTATGGAGGCCCCCAGGTATCCTCAACCAATAAAGGAGAGTAAACACCGATATGGTGGCAGCTAGGATAAGCACTCTACCTATTCTAACTTGGGGGATGATTGCTATAGCATCATTCAAGCCCTCGCTTCTGGCTTTCCTCTTTGTCCCAGTGTTTCCTTGCATTAGAAGCCTTGGCAGAGGACTGCAATGGGCACTATCAGTTGGCCAGCTGGAGTGTGGCTCTGGGGCAATTTGCCCTGGCACAGTTGCAGGGCACCTGCCCTTTAGGTACTCACCAAGCCACCTCCTGCCAGGCCAGGGAGAAGCAGTGTGCATATACTGAGGCTAGCCAAGGAGGTGCCCAGTGAGTGGGGGCAGCTGAAGCAGATGCCCCTTCACACTTCCTGCTCTTCTCTCCATTTCCTGTGGCCCAGAATTTGATGGGGGTGGAGGGAATTGTGCCAAGTCAGCAGTCCCCCTTTGGTCCATCTGTACCCCTCCCTGAACCACATAACGGAAATCAGAGGCCTCCCTGATGTCAGCGACTTCCCTTTTCTCTGGGGCGTTTAACCTCTAATCCAGAACACCAGTCTTCCCTCTGATCATCTCTCTCTGATACTGGTCTACTTGATGCTCAGAAATCTGGGTTCTCATACTGTACGTGCAGGGAGTGATGAGGTTGATATGATGTTTTGCAGAAGTGACAGCCAGGCCCCCATTCCTGATCTCCTCTGGGTTGAGGCATATAGCCTTAACCTTTTCCTCTTTTGCTCCTGCTCCCCTGGGACTCAGGCACTACCCCTTGCCCTCTTGGGGGTGCGGGGGTGCTGGGTAGCAACAGGAAGTGGATTTAGCTAGAGACCAAAAAAGAGAACTCAGAGTGTCAGTGGAAGAAAGGAGCCTCGATTACACAGAAAACATCCGGGGAGTGGATGCGTGCCTAGGGCAGATACGGACTCCCCCAACTCGGGGAAGAAGGATATGGGCCAGTTTCAGGGAGGGTCGCCATGCACTCTGCTCCCCTAAGATGAAGCTGTTGCTCCTAGCAACCCAGCGGAAGGCAGAAGTTTGGAAGCGGAGTCACTTGGCCCTTGGGACAGGTGAGGGCAGCCCGGCTGCCTGTGGGGTATTGAACAGGAGGCTTTTCATAGGCTCTCCATCGATACCCTCTAGGTATCGAGCATCCCCGTACACAACCCCTTGAGGCCGGCCACCTGCTCCTCCTTCCTCCGCCCCTGCATCCCAGCCTGCAAGGAGAACCCAGTCGTCCGGCTCCCACATCCCTGCAAGAACCCCAACGCTGGTTTCCTGATCCCCTGCAACCGCCGCTTTCTGGAGGGGGCCCATGCACGCGTCCCATCATCATCCTCGAGGACCTGGACGTGCAGCCCCAGATGGCTGACCCCTAGGGACCCAGGCGTCCGGCCCCCTATTCTCTCCCCGGTGTCCTCGTCTGGGGACCATCCCGAAACTCGCCCCAAGCCGCCGCCGCCTATGCCCCGCCGCGTGGCCCTACTTCCCTTACCTGGTCCCGGGTTTCTCCCCCATGGTGCGCGCGCCCGCCGCCCTCCCGGTTCGCGGCTCGCTCGCAGCCTTCTCGCTCGCTGCCAGGTCCCTGCTCCTCCCCGCGCCACTGCGCACGCGCGCCCTCAGCTACTTCTCCTCTTCCCCCTCCCTTCCGAGCCCCCCCATCCCGGGTCCTGGGGAACCGGACCAGATGCGTCAGCCGGATCGCGCGCGCCGCAGCGTTGCCCGCCCTCTCTTCACAGACTCACGCGGTGATTGGCTACGCCCCCGCCCCTCCGCGCTCCGTCCCCCGGGGGAGCCCGCCCCGGCGCGCGCAATCCCTCCTCCTGCTTCTCCCGCCCATCTCTCCGCCCCTCCTCAACCCCTGAGAAGCTGATTGGGCCCGCTTAAAGGAAGGCGCCGCCTTCCAAGTGATCAAAGTCCTCTGATTGGCTTCCATATCCAGAACCCTGCAGGGATTCCCTCCCCCTTGTTTGCTTTCTCGGTGGGGGTGGAATGAGCTCAAGCACAGTTTAGGGAGGAGGATGAGGGGACGCACACGTGGGCCAGAGGTTCCAGTTGCGTGACGCTTGCTCTAGTGAGCGCCGCTCACCCGCTCAGAGCCGGCGGCCTTCTTTGTCCCCACTCCCGCTTTTTTATTGTGGTGTCTCAGCTCCCTCTAGTGTCTATCTTTGATCTTCGCAAGGCTCCTTTTTCTAATTTCTGTCATGACGATCCATCTCCACCCACTCATCCCAGATAACATCCACTCACTCATCCATCCACCCATCCATCCATCCATGCCTGTTTTGTGCTAGTCAGTGTGCCAAGCAGTGGGAACTGAAGAATTACCACGGCCCCTGCCTTCCCAGTATAATTGAGGAGACACATAAACAGGTATTATGCTCCCAGGAATGCTATAATAGAAGGATGACTCAGAAGAGAAAACGACTAACAGTGCTTGGCTAGGACGAGGGTGGAGGGAGTGCAGGCTGTCCAGAAGAGGGGACATTTGAGGACAAGCTTTCTGAATGATGGGCAGAAATTGAGAAAGGGCATTCCGAAGAGAGAGCAAGGTCAGGCACATCCTGTTCTGAAGTGTTTATGGAGTTAGGCAGTAGGAGTAATAAGGCTAAAGAGGAAGTCTGGAGCAGGTTGTGGAGGGTTTTGTATAGCAGGTGAAGGAATGAGACCGAAGCCCTTCCCAGCAGGAGGACCCCTGGAACCAATCGTGGCTTTTTAAGCAGAGGGGCAGCATGACGACATTTCTCTTTTGGGGAGACGATTCTGGGCAATGCGGAGAGTGGAGGGAGTGGGGCCAGACCGTTGTAGATAAATGATGCATGCTAGAGTGGAAAGAAGAGGGGCCGGACCGAAGAGGCATTCCTGGGGTAAAGTTGAGTGGACTTGTGGGAGGATGAGCGATGACTGACATTTCTGGACTTATTGAGCTACGATATTACTCCTTCTTCCACCTCTTTTCCCATACTTTCCCCATCTTCCCCAAATGAACTAACTTCATACCTCTCCCTCCACTTTTCCATGCAGCAAAAACTAATATGCACAAGACAGTTTCTGAGATCATCTTTCAGGTTCACTTCAGCCTTGCCCACCAACTGCACCTCCCCGTCCCTCAGTTCTATCACCACCTTCTAGGCTTACTCTTCACTTTTTTCAAGCTTATTTATTTACTTATTTATTTGGTGACTGCCTGGTCCTGGGATTGAACCTTTGATCTTGTATTGTCAGCACCAACTGAGCCAACTGGCCAGCCTTTTTTCAAGCTTTAGATCACACATTTCTTTTAGACTCATGAATCACTTTTATCCAAATTTGACCCTGGACAAAGGGTCATGACTAGAAGGTAATGGGATCTGTATATAAAGTACATTTGAGACTGAAAGGTAGTGGTCAACATGGCATGAAATCTACTATATTAAAAGGTTCTAATATAAAAACTTTAGAGAGATATAAAAGAAGACCAGAAAGTATGAAAGAGATATACCATATCTCGGGTAGGAACAATTATTATAATAAAGATGTCATCTCTCCCCAAATTATCTATAAATTTAATGCCATATCAACATAAGAATGGGATTGGGTGGGGGAGGGAACTTGATTGTAAACATAATCAAAAGAATCAACTTTTAAGTATAGCCAGAAAAATTCTTTTTTTTTTTAAAGATGACCAGTAAGGGGATCTTAACCCCTGACTTGGTGTTGTCAGCACCATGCTCTCCAAAGTGAGCTAACCGGCCATCCCTATATAGGGATCTGAACCTGTGGCCTTGGTGTTATCAGCACCACACTCTCCCAAGTGAGCCACAGCTGGGCCCCCCCCCTTTTTTTAAAGATGACTGGTAAGTTGATCTTAAGGGGGATCTTAACCCTTGACTTGGTGTTGTCAGCACCACACTCTCCCAAGTGAGCCACGGGCCGGCCCCGCCAGAAAAATTCTGAAAAAAAAAAAAAAAATTAAAGTGGGCACATGTCTTAACAGATAATTTATGTTACAATAACTAAAACTATGTTACTGGCACAATAATACTAAATGGAGCAATGAAACAGAATAGAGAGTCCATATACAGACCTGACCCACATGGTAGAATTTCAAGTCAATGGAGAAAGAATGGCATATTTACTAAATAGGGTAGGGACGATTGGCTATCCACTGGGGAAAAAAAGTTAGATCTCTGTCTCATACCTTAAACAAATAAATTCCAGATGGATTAAAGATCTAAATACACAGAATAAACCATGAAAGTATTAGGAGAAACTAAGTTTTTTTTTTTTTTTATAACTTTGGAGGTTGGGGAAGTCCTCTCAAAATATCAAACCCCATGGATATAAGTAATAATAGCTAACACTTTACAGAATTTACTATGTGCCAAACATTCACCATTAGCCAAACATTGTTCCAAGCACTTTACAAATATTAACTCATTTAATCCTCATTACCCTATGAATTAAAGTTCTATAATAATTATCCCTATTTTATTGTTTTTGGCAGCTGGCTGGTCTGAGGATCCAAACCCTTGACCTTCGTGTTATCAGCACCACGCCCTTCCAAGTGAGCCACTGGCCAGCTCCCTGATTATCCCCATTTTAAAGATGAAGACATAGGAGTACAGTTAAATAATTTGGAAGGACACACAAATAGAGGCAAAGCTGGTGTTTGAACACAGCAATCTACCTTGAGTCTGTGCCCTTAATTACACCTTACTTTACAAAAACTGAGATAAAAAAAATAATAAGACAAATTGTTAGAAATCTCTTGCAACACATATAACATACAACAGTAATTTCCCATACCTTTTTTTTTTGTTTTTTTGGTGGCTGGCGGGTGCAGGGATCCAATAATTTCCCAGATCTATAGAGTTCCTACAAACTAATAAAATAAAGACAAAGAACCAAACAGTAAAATGGGTAAAGGACATAAAAACAATTAATAAAGAATAAATATAAACGTCTACTAAACATATGAAAAGTTACTTCATTTCATTAATAATCAGGGAAAACAAGTTAAAAGAAGATATTTTTCATCTTCAGACTGACAAAATTTAAAAAGATAAATAAAGTTAGTATTGAGACGGTGTATAAGGTATACAGCACTATTCTAGATGGTTGGCAAGAGTATAAATTGATGCAACCTTCTTTTCAGAGGGCATTTTGCCAGTTCCAGTTCCTATCAAAATTTAAAATAAGCATTCTTTTTCATCCAATACTTATTATTCACTCAACAAATATTTATTGAGCACCTTTTATGTACCAGGTACTGTTCTAGATAATGGAAATAAAATAGTGAAGAAGACAGAAACTCTCTCATGAAGTTTAGATTTTAGACAGAAGAGATAGCCAATAAATAAGAACGTATATAAATTTCTGATAGTGATATGAGTTACAAAAAAATAAGCAGGTTAATGTGATAGAGGGCGATGGGGGTTGGAGTGAAGTTTAAAGAGAAGCCCTCTCTGAAGAGGGCAACATGGTGTCAGTCACAAAGAATCAAAGGAAAGTTTCTCCAGCAGAATCTGCAGCATGTGCAAAGGTCCTGAAGTAGGAATGGTCTTGGCTGGAGGAAAGAAAGAAGGCTAGTTTGGCTCAAGGATAGGGAAAAAAAGAGAAAGTGGTACTTGAGGTATGTGTTGAAGTCAGAGAGGCGGGTATGGGTCAGATCATGGGGATTCTAGTAGCCTAAGTGAAGAGATGGGATGTCATCCTCACAATATTTGGAAGCCACTGAAGGGCTTTAAGCAGGGAGTGACATAACTGATTTACATTTGAAAAGACCACTCTGGTTGCTGTGTGGAAAAGGGACTATAGAGGGCCAAGAGGGAAGCAGAGAGTAATGAAGAGACCTTTCTAAGATGCTACTGTAAGAGACCAGGTGAGAGAATGGTGACTTGGATCAGAGTGGCATTGGAGATGGAGAAATGGAGAAAAATTAACCGTATTGGGTTAATGTATTTTGGAGGCAGAATGCCAGGACTTGAAGGATTGGATAGAGGATAGTAAGAGGAAAAAAGATGACTGTTGGATTTGAATCCAATATTCACACAAGAACACAAAGATAGAGGTATTAGGTGTTCACTACAGTGTTTGTGTAAGTGAAAAACAGGAGCAGCTTTAGGTATTCAGCAATAGCACTGTTAAATCATGGTGCACCTATTTCATTTGTACCACACAGCTTAAAACAGCGTAAAGACGCCCACGATATATATCGAGTGAAAACAGCCAAGTGCAGGCCTTGCTTTTGTAAAATAAACGATGTATGTCTGTTTGTGCACAGATTGATCTTAGGAAAGGATACCCTTTACTAGGGGAGGGCCTTTGAGAAGAGGGGGTTTCCTCTATTTACTCTATGCCCTTCTGCATGTTTGAATTTGTTTTTGCAAGGCGCGAACATTATATCATTTCTGAAGTTGCAAATGTACTTAAAAGTGTCTGTGATTTCAGACAAGGGGGCCGGTTCCTTGGGTAGACATTACTGATTCCTAGAGCAAAGGTGTCCTGAGACTCCGCTTAGTGAAAATCTTTCGGGCTTGGGCGCCCTTTGTCGGGACCACGTGTTCCTTCAGCATCCCGGAGCACCTCCGACCCACCCCCGGCCCGCCTCTCAGGCCAACCTTTGACACCCAGCGAAATAAGACCAGCCGCCCTGGCCCCGGGTCGCCTCCACCCCGCGCATGCGCCCTCCCACTCAGGCCGGCAGTCCAACCTCCATTCAACCACCGCGCAGGACCACAGCCCCCTCCACACGCCCCCTTCCCACT